GTGGCCTTTGTGCCCGTGACTGGGGTGTTGCTGCTCGCTGGGGAGCACAGCACGAGCCTGGCCCCCAGCTCTCGCCCTCAGCCTCCCCACGCTCTGTCCCTGCAGATGATGAGGACAGTGACTACCACCAGGAGCCCTACAAGGAGTCGTACAAGGATCGCCGTCGCCGCGCACACACTCAGGCTGAGCAGAAGCGCCGAGATGCCATCAAGGTGAGGGGAGAGGCTGTAGGTGCTGCTGCCCCTGGGGCCCTGCCAGGCCCAGCACAGGCTTTTCCAGCACTTCCCCTCGGTTTTGCTGCTGGATCTGCCCTCCCTAGACATGTTGACCAGGAGCTGCCCCAGCTCTGGTGGGCAGTGTGGTGGGAACTGGTCTGGAGCTGGTTTGCAACACCTGTCATATACAGTGAGCTCCACACACTGTGGCTCTGCTTCCCCACAGAAAGGCTACGATGACTTGCAGGCCATTGTCCCCACCTGTGAGCAACAGGATTTCTCCATAGGCTCCCAGAAGCTGAGCAAGGCTATCGTCCTCCAGAAAAGTGAGTCCCGAGGGTGGGAAGAGGGAAGTGGGTGCTGTCAACCCCCAAACCATCTCCTTACAGCTCTGCAGGGTAGAGTTCAGCACCTTGGGGCCTTCAGGTGCAAAGAGGCTCTGGGGGAGCTCAGGTGCTGCTCACCTCCACCCGCCTACCCCGGGAGGATGGGGACAGCAGAACCTGGTGCTGCCCTGGCTCAGGCATCTCCCATGGGGATCTCCCGAGTCCTCACTCTGTGTTTTCACGTTCAGCCATCGACTACATCCAGTTCCTTCACAAGGAAAAGAAAAAGCAGGAGGAGGAAGTTTCTACTCTTAGGAAAGATGTGATGGCCTTGAAGATCATGAAAGTGTAAGGGTTATTGGGGTCCTGCCCTTTTGATCCTACTGTTCTCTCCCATTCTTGCAGGGTTCTGCAGAGGTTCTCTGGCCAGGAACAGGCTGGGAGCCTGGAGCTGGGAGTGGGAGCTGGGTGCAGGCCTCACCACTGACCACACAGCACTGGGTTTGTTTCAGGAACTATGAGCAGATTGTGAAAGCTCATCAGGACAACCCAAACGAGGGGAAGGACCAGGTGTCTGATGAGGTGAAGTTCAACGTTTTCCAAGGCATCATGGATTCCCTGTTCCAGTCCTTCAATGCCTCCATCTCCGTAACAAGCTTTCAGGAGCTCTCGGCATGTGTCTTCAGCTGGATCGAGGAGCACTGCAAGCCCCAGGTGAGTTCAGGGCTGTGGGTGGGTCTCTACCAGGGCAGGGGGGCAGAGGCCATGGCACGGGGGTGGCTTTCCCTCCACAGCCCCCTGACCCTGTCCCCTCTCTGCAGACGCTGCGGGAGGTTGTCATCGGGGTCCTGCACCAAGTGAAGAGTCAGCTCTACTGAGCCTCCCACTGGGATGGGGCACCTCCTGCCTGGGCGCTGGGCACGTCCTGGGCCCTCTCCCTCCTGCCTGTTTTTAAGCTTTGAGTTATTTATTGCATTCTCTGAGGCCCAGTGGTGCCTGTGCACACACAGCTGCTCCAGGTGTATTACAAGTATCTGTAGGGACTGGGCAGGGAAGGGAGCAGATGGGATTGGGGCAGGGGCATTGGCTCAGGCAGTTGCCTGTGCCACTGACTCTTCCTGCAGAGCCAACCCCAGAGCAGCTCTGTGCCCTCAGGCCTCTGACAGTCCCTCTGGCCCTGGGGCAGGGAATATGATGAATGTGTGCTAAAGACTCTGGCAGAACAGTAGGGATAGGCTCTCCCCTCCCTGCAGGCTGTCTCCCCTCTCCCTTGGAAGCAGCTATTTAGGCAGGTGATGCTGTGTCAGTGTCTGGGGGAGCCTGGCAGCGGGGTGAGCCTGTCAGTGCCAGGAGCTGCAGTGCTGGCAGCACATGAAGAACCCCAAGCACTGCTGCAGTGGGTCCCTGGGAGGGACACGGGAAGTTCCTGTGAGTGCTGGAGCATGTCCTGCTTGTTTTCACAGTGGCTGGACTGCACAGGAATGTTCTGCAGCTGTAGCAGTTTGGTCATGTGCTCTTGCTGCCCCTCAGAATTTATACACACATGTGTGACCAGCCTTGATTTGATTTTGGTTTTGTAAATCACTGCAATTGTCCTGAGGCACTGCCAGTGCCACCTGTGCAGGCAGCTGCTCTCAGAGACACATTTTGTCCTGTCACACCCCCACTGGGGTCATGGCTCTGCCCAGGCAAGGAGCCTTCGCTGCCTAGAGCAATGGTGCCAGGGCAGTGGGATTTATTGTCCATACCCAGGTTTGTGCTTCTGCTCCAGGGGCATATCCAGGGCATGTTTATTTTAGGCTGTTTAGGCTCTGCCTCCTGCCTTGGGAGGAGTTTTACAGACCTCACATGTGAAAGTGACGTATTTTTCTATTGTGAAAAGTAATTAAATAAATTTTGATGAATGTTTTAATGATTTCTCTGGTGCTGAGTTCCTGAAGCTGTGTACTACAGCCACTAGTTTCTAGAAACCCATTCCAGTCCCTGTGGCTCAGGTTCCCCTCTCCTGGCTCTTGCCTTCCCCCTCTGAACAGACAACCACAGCAAAGTGCAACCGAACCAAAATCAGCAGTTTAATAGAACTATTCAGGCACACAGTGGGACGTGGCTGGAACACACACAGAGCTCTGCAGCCCTGACAGCCCCTCACTTGTCCTGGGCACCCCCTGTTCTCAGTGCACCACCAGCAGTACCAGTGCCCCAACCTCCCCCACACCTCCCCTCAGCCCCATGAGGGCCTGACTTGGCACCTCCCTGTGCTGAAAGGCAAGAAGAAACCACATCCCTTTGCAAGGACAGGGCCAAGTCCCTCCTACCCATCATCCTTCCAACTGCAAAACACTGTAAACTAAACACATAAACACACAGGATGAGCCCAAGTCCTGCAAGAAGGGGAAAACCCCAGCCCAACAGCTGATGTTCAGCAGCAGTTCTGCTGCAGCAGCAGCAGCTCCCTGGGGCAAAGGCTCCCCCAGCACCTCACTGGTCTGCAGGCAGTGTGACACCATAGTCCTCGTCTGTCTCTATCCCGACCTCCTCCTGCACAGCACCATGTGGATCAGGACAGCTGTGCTGGGCAGGGCACAGCCCCAGGGCAGGGCACGGCCTCGATACTTACAAAAAACTGCTTCTTGCTCTTGGGGTACCCCTCCAGGATGGCCTCCAGCAGCTCTGTGGCCTGGCGAGACAGGGGCATGTGAGGGCTGGGGCAGCCTCCCCAGCAGGGCAGTCACTGCCTCTTGCCCCATGCCATGGCCAGTACCATCCTCTTCCTCCGGCGCCACTCCCGGCGGTACAG